AGTCGCCGTACGCCACTTGGATCGGACATGCTCATAATGGATAATTACCGGTGGATCTAACGACGAAACGGCAGCTAATTAACGGAACTTCCACGATGCCAGACACGTTCTTGCCGATGTCCTTTTCGCTTCCACCGGAAACGCAACGATCCCGATGGATCTAACATCCGCCTCGACCTAAAATTTCTTTTTCCTACGATCTCCATCCTAGCGTCTCGTCGCGCGACGCGGTTCCTAATTGCGAAACCGTCCGTGTCTCGTCGCTAATTACCGCGTCAATTAGATGCAACGACATACTCGAGAATTAGAGGCAGCTAGGTGTGTTTAAAGTACGCAATTTTCTCGGCTGGTCGAGCGGAGATGGTGGGATGGTAGAAGGGTAGAACGGAATGGCGGAGAGGGATGCGACTCGAGAGTGAACCGGCAAAGAGGACCAAGACCTCTGAGGAGGCTCGTTATCCGTGTGTACTAGGCTCAGACAAACAGCCTCATTTGTCACGCGCTGACCTCACCGCCCGACCTTCCTCCTTTCTCTTCATTCTCTTCTTCTCTTTCACCTAGTCGCCTAGCTTTCTCCCCGCGTTACCGACTACGACAGCCCAGTCACCCGAAACGTCAACGACAGGAAAATCCACGGGCTTAAGCTCCAGCCGTTTCCACCTCTCGTCGACCGTCTTAAAAAAATGTTTGCAATTGTTTCGGGGCTTCTTTATCACCGGTTCCAACCTTCGAATTCCCTTGACGGTCTCAAAATTTGTTAGAGAAATAAGGAACGAAGCACGCTCGAACCGATACAAAAGAAAATGAAATTAGCTATTGTCTGGTAAATTGTACGGTAATTCGTGCGATATTCGCGCAAAATGCTGCCTCCATAGAGGATGATTGCAGCAGCGATGAAACACGAAGAACGAGGATCGTTAAGGATGGCGACGGTAAAAGTGGTTTTACCCGCCACGTGTCCAACAACCGCTCATTTCGTCCGCATTCGCTATCCACCGCACTGTAAAGTGTACAGAATGGCTTTGTCTCAAAATTTCCATGAAATTTCAAAACGAAAGCTACGCGATGAAAAGGAAGTTTCTTTTTTTTTTTTTATCGATAACGAAAACGATCGAGAAAAATTTGAAGCAATTGCTCGCGCTGTTACGACCTAAGCGCGGCTCATTCCCGTAGCGGTATTTTAATGAACAGTTCGCGGGGAACGATTACGAGCAAGTAATTTCTTAAGCGCCGAAGAATATTCCAATTAAGGCAGAGTTTCTGTAATTACCCAATAACGATGTTACGTTAAATACCGTCGACGACTCTTCAAACTTTCTTTCCATTCGTTTCAGCATCGTTTCTGGTATCGATTAAAAGGCGGACAAACTCGTTTGTAAACTTGTAAATTCGTGGCAACTTTGGTCGGACAGAAACACGGCTCGCCGATAATGTTATCGCGAGCTCGCTTTTCCGAGACACCGACCAACCGGAAATTAAAATATTCCTCTACAGTTTATATTCCGTATCGCGTTTATACTCTCTGTCTCTCTTTTAACCTACACCGTACGCAAAATCATTCGCTCCGGATAGAGGATACATCGTCGAACAAATAGCAAAATCGTTTGCAAAACATGTTATTTCAAATTTACAATTAATTTTTGAGATGTTTGTTTAATAACTAACACAGTTGATTTCCAACTAGGATAATAGCATGGTAGAATTCGTCGAGGATATCGGCCGGGATCGACACAAACGCATGCTTTCGGTAGAAAGCATTGGATGGATGGCAATAGGATGGGGGGTGAACGGCGTTAAACGCGTTTAGACGGAAACGCGTATGCAAAGTATACGGTTGGAAATGAAACGGTTCACTCGACGTAACACCCGCGCCGTTCGAACGCGATCGACTGATCGATGACCTGAAATTCCTATAAACGATGCCACACCACGGAATCGACGCTACACCGCGATAATGTATTAGGTTCTTGATTAAATTGATTCGATTGATCGGCAAACATATTGCAAGCGCGGAGCTGTTCGCGGTAACCCCGACCCCGCGAAGCTTTCCACTGGTAAATGAACGCCGAAGAATGACAAACGTCGGTAATAATCTTGGGACGACTGAATTTTTCAACTTTCAACTTGAAACGAACGATCTACCATTTCCTGTTCCTTCACCCTTACCTACCAAGCCATTATCGCTCTACGAATTGATAATTAATCATCAAAAATATCAACAATTCGCGAGGGAAAGCCTATTATTTCATTCACCATCAATAATAACTGATATCAAAAAGCCTGTTAATATGCGTGCAAATTCGCGATTCGTGGTCTTTTTTCTGGTCGACCTTTGAGCTACGATACCAATTTCCAGCAATGAGCATAATATACGCAACCGGGTAGGTAATTGGCAAGACAAAAGATCGCCGCAATTAAAGCGATCGAATCGATAATACGATTATAACGAGCCTCGCCTCGGTTACGGCACGATCATGCCGCATTATTATCGTTTGTAAACAATCCTTGGCATTAAACTATATCAGGATTTATAATCGGTTCATGAACGTGTACGCCATCGCCATCGCGTTTACTTGTTATTATTTGCTCCATACTAATTTATTTATCTCGGCTATTAGGACATAATGGAATTAAAGTCTGACTACTGCAATTTACACTGGACGTTAACATAACGCCGCGGTACAATTGCGATATTATTGATGAAGGACGGACCTATAAACCGTAATTGCAGTGATACATAGATTTACATATTTTAGAAAGTTTCGCCCTATACTAGGTACTACGTGATATTTTACTCTACATCGATCAGCGTCGATAGTTTGATTACTGATTACCAATTAATCCGATGATACATAATTCGTTGATTTCAGCGCAACAACCATTCGATGCGCATTAGCTATCGAGCCGTTGCATAATTAGGTCGATACAGCTTCGGGCAATCAGACGAAACGGAATAACCAACACCGAATTGTTAGACCACGACTATATTGACAACTATGTAGTGGATAATAGAAACCGACGTTTCTTGTCTCGCTACCGAGTATAGCCGAAACGACTAAAGTTGTTCTCAATTAAAGTTTACAGACGTACGACGGACAAACAATTATTCTTCAACAGACGACGTTGGAATAACGTTAATTGCTCGTGTCGCGAAAAAGTTGGCGCGAAATTAGCGAGATCCGGCGAAATTAAAGTGGCAACTTTGTTCTCTTTCCGTATATCTCATTAAAAATGTTTTGTGCCCGCGCCAACTCGCGCAACGATATTACGGTCAGCTCGTTAGCCGTCAGAATGGATGGCTACGTCGACGTACAATGACATTATACCCCGGAGATCCACGCGGCCCGGTTAAATAAAGCTCGCTTATGTTTTGACAAACTCAAGTGTTCGAAATGAACGAGCAGCGGGGAAACTAAAACGAACATGCTTTCGACTTCGAGTCGACGGAGAAAAATTTCATGCACTCTGAACACGTTGTCGGTGCGGTAAGCTAACGTTCGTTTTAATCCGCTGTTTTTTAATTAAAAACATTTCCCTCGCGAAATCCAGAAAAAACCGTGCTTCCTCGACGTTGCAGGGTCAAACGGGCAGAGAAACGAATTCTCCTGTAACTATCTTGAAATTCAAAGAACGACCTTTTCCTCTTTCCTTTCTATTTCGGTTAAAGCGGCCAGAAAATCGGCTTCTAACGAGAGATTTTCACCGCACCGTTCGCGAATAACAAATCTTCCTAACAAAAATATTTCAAATGTGGAGGAAAAGAACGAGCAGCATTGGCTGATCGAACGTCGGGAATATCTGTATTTTGTATATTTCCTGGTAAAATATGAATCCATGCACTCAACGAGATGACACGAGCTTTTCGCGATGGATCAGGGAAGAAAAGGGCCGCGAATACGAAACAATGGAAACCACCGACGTCCGACCAGCTTTCACGGCATAGCCGTCTCGTGTCCAGAAGAAATTTTTCAACGAAAACAACGATCCTGTCCCTCTGTCGACCCTTGTCTCGTCTTCGTTCCCGTCTCTGGTTCACCAACAAACTCCCCATAACGGTTCTTTCTCATTTGCATCCTTCCTTCTTCAGCTTTCTCCAACGTTCTATCCGCTAGTCGCGTCTTCTGTTTTCAACGCGGTAAGGAATGAAAAATATTAAGCGGACCGTGTCGTTTACTCGTCCTCGAATACGACGCCGGCTGAATTTGTTTGCCACGCGTGAAGAAGGAAACTTTGAAATTTCATCTTTCGGTAAAATATGTCGTCGAAAGAGTGTTGATAGAAAAATAAAAATAAAGCGCGGACGGCCGAGCTGAAAGGATTACACGCGTACTCATTGTAACGACTTAAACGAACTCCAAGCAGACCGTTTAATTCATCGAATTAATCCCCCAATTACGCGAGAAATTGCGTTAGCTTGAAAAGTTTCCGAGAAAAGCGACCAGAGCGTGGCGAAGAATTTCATTTAAAAACCGATAATTCGATTGTAGTCGGTGGCCTGAACTTTGATCGCGAGATAATGAAGAGAGAGTGAGAGATAGAGAGAGAAGGGGAGAGAAAAAAGAGAGAAAAAGGTGTAACAAAGTTGACTTCATTAACAGATATCGCTTTTCAAGTCGGCGACAAGGTAGCGCCGTTGCAAAATTACTTCTATCGCGGCGTAAATTTTAATTAAATACGCTTTTTAATACGGAGGAGCTATTCAGCAATGGCTTCCAGTCAGGCTAATTTAATTAATATTTTACGCGATGCGTCGCTAAAAAGCCACGAAAGCCACGAAAACCGCGAAAGCCGAGTAGGCGGAAAATTTTATCACAGGAACGCTCCGCGAAAAAGTAACACACTCCTCGTTTAGTTATATTCCAGAGTTTCCACACGACAGAACAGATCGATACAGAATCCTTCTGTTTCTTTAATGTTTGTTCATATAAGCATTCTTTTATTTATGTTTACAGAACTTGCCGACCGTAAAATGCTTCACGCGCGCTTTGTCCATATTAATAATTATTTTTACTCTACGTACAGCTCGAAAACTCGATATCCAATTGCTAATCTCTTTTATTCGAAATGGAAAATTTCTTTGCTTTTTTCCCTAATAATTTCTGTTGGCGGATTTCAACGAAGGGAACATCGCGATTAACCGGCGAAACGAGGACAAACGAGATCCCTTCAAATGTTTCGACAAAATGGCAAACTCCAAATTGTGAAAGGAAATCCTTCGGATAAAAAGAAGAGGAAAAATCCATGGCTGACATGACAAACAACCAATGCGTCTGTCCGAAATGTCTTCATCGATCGTGTCCGCTTCCGCACGCGGAACCACCCTACGACGAACTAACGCACCAAGTCGACGACAACGTTTTATCGGTGAAAATACCGAAACATAAAGGATGTTTCCAGTCGGACGAGGCAGAACAGGAAAAGCTCAGCTTCGACTTTAACTGCGCGGACGAAGACGGTACGTCGCGTTTATTACCCTCTATACTACTTAACCTTTCGCGATCAATATCAATTAAGTGTTTCATTCGTGCGCTACCTATTCGAAACCAAGTACAACGAAAGCTTTTCATTTTCCTGTTCAGATTTTACGTACACAGAAAACACATGAAATAAGAAATAAACAATGCAAGATTTATAGTTTACAACGAAACTCGCGAAATCCTGTTTGCTCGGATAAAGAACTCGTTGTTTGCGATTCAGTCGGTAATTAATTTTCTCCGTGAAACTGTTGAAGCATGCAAAGAGAAGAAATATAAGTTTTTCTCCAATTCATAGATACAGAATTAAAGCTAAAGTATAAAATATTTCTGCAACTACGATTAACGAGTATGAGAAATCACGTGTCGAGTTCAGCTCGACGTACGAGCTGTCGAGATGAAATATAATCGGAAACCCTATTTAAATTTATTACGTTTCTTCCATTCTTTTGTTTCTTTATTTATTTCGCGTGCAACAGGCGATCAGCGCCAACGACTAGAGTCACTAAAGTATCATGGGAATGCGGGTTGAGAAAAGGAAATGCATGTGGCATTGTTAAAGAATTAAGATAAGCCGTTTATAATTCAGGGGAAAAATGTAAGCCTGGTTGCACGAAGGTTCTAGTGATACCGGATCAGTATCCGCCAGTGAAAAAGGCCGAGGAGGAAGTGCTCTCGTTGAGGGCTATAAGGCACACTATGCCCAACGACGACCTAAGGAACACGCTCGAAATTGAATTTAAGGCGCCACGAAATTACATTCCTCTGCCCGAATTCGGCCCACCTCCGCCCATAATTGTACCGAGGCAGAATATTAGATCGAGCAGAAAGGGCAAGCGTAAAAGGAAGAAGTAAGATTTCCCTTGTCTGCCTGCCTGCCTGCCTGCCTGCCTGCCTGCCTGCCTGCCTGCCACGAAAACGCAATTACACGCAGGGACAAAGTTCAACTTGCAAACTTGCTCGGAAACGTAAAGAAAAACGAATGAATTCGAGTAAATGCAATCTACCAGTGAAAAAAGAAAAGGTAACTCTTTATTCGGTTTTACTTTCGAGCTTGCGAATCCGTGATGTCTACGATTTTTCGGGAAACAACCCTGTTTAAAGATCTCATTGGCTGGTAGGAAGCCAAAGCGTTCTTCGCCAGTTGGTCGTAAACGCAGTGGCACCCAGGAGGCCGAATAATGGAACGATAAATCACTGGCATTATATTCTTGCGCATCTTGGAGAACGATAAATCATATCGAAGGCATACGGACGCGTCGCGTCGCTATTAAACGTTTTCGGAGCCATTGTCTTCCGTGACGGCGCGGCTGTCGGGGCTCTTTTTTAATCTTAGTTCCGTGTTTTATCTGCTTCGACGAATTGCAGATACCTATTGTTTCAATTTTAACCTCCAACAACAAAGCCACGGATTACAAAATAATAATCAATTTATAACGTTTAATTGACTAATACTGGACGTATTGGCAAGTATCCTGCACGATTCGATGCCGCGTTTAAGACCTATTACAACATTGCCTAAACTAGATTATCGCGTCGACCAACATTTGTACTGCCGGTGAAATTGCAATTTACATAGTTCCTCGTATCGACGTTAACGTGGCAAGCTCATATTCGATCTTACCGCAAAACTGGCGAACCTAATTATTTCAGATGGCCTCGCTATTCCACCGATGACCGATGCTGTGATCGTCGGTTAATTATTGCTCCACGATCGGTCGCGGTTATCATTCGGAATTAGTCATTTTCACGCGTTCGCTAACCCGAAGCAAATACGTTTTCGAAACCTGAACTATTTCTAACCGTGGAGAGAACCGTCGAGTCGCGAAACGTGTTGATAAATTGCCGATAATTACGGGTATGATTAAATAAAGCAAGATACATAGAAATGCGAGATAAGTAGCGATATTCGCGTCGAAATCGATCGAAAAATAATACGAAACCCTGATTCTCGACGCTGTCTCTGCTCCCTTCCTTATAAATATTTATTATGCGCAAACAGAAACGACGAGTTCTGGCAGAAACCACGCGACGAATTCGATCGTGAAAGCATTTGCTTGTACTTTAAACGATCTTCCCCGATGCACTGTATAATTCAATAAAATTTGAATTTATCGCCGGCTGCGCGTGTGCATTGCGTCCCAAAACTAGCGAAAACATTCTCGTTTCCTCGAACTGAAGATACAAGTTCAACAGATGCGACCCTCCGTAATTTCGACTATTCGAATTCCTTGTTCGTTCGTTCGTTCGTTCGTTCGTTCGTTCGTTCGAACTGCTGGAAAAACGGAAACAGACGTCCGGATAAACGGTTATCGGTGACTGGTTAGGAAACCGGCAACAACAGACGAAATTTCGAAAATATAGAGATCCTCTGTAGGGGATGAATACGTGCTCGAATCTGTATGTATGAACGGAAGTAGAGATCCGTGGAGTTTCGAAAGTCTAGGTGGAAGGGAAGGGAAACGAAACGGAAGAAAACTCGATCCTATTCGATCCGGCTCGTTGTATTCGTCGAGTCGCGCGATAACCAACTTTATCCGGACACGAGATTTCTCGCAGAAAATACAGCTTTTTCCCAGTGATTCCATCGCGTGCCGGGAATAAACCGGGGCTGAATTGACGTTTGACCAGCCCGTAGGCGATACGAATATATACCGTAAATACCTGCCTCGCCCACCTGCCTTCCTCCCTTTATTTTATTTATTTCACTTTTTTTTCTTCTCTTGTCCTCTCTCGGATACCGAGTTCCAGCTACGTGCCTAGCAGAAATGTTAGGCATTTCATTGCGTGACGTCTACAAACCTATTTATTTTTATGGGATAAACCTCGCTAAGTGTACCCTTTGACACGCTTTCATTGCCAACCGTTCGTAATTATGATTTGCGAACGTTTAATTTAACGAAAGAAAATTATGGAATAACGTTCGATGCGACAATATATCTTGGATTGTAACACGCGTATAATCCACCTTTCGAATCGGCAGCGACAGCAATTTTGCCAGACAAACGACCGACTATACGACTGGTAGTTGCAGCAGTGGGCTTTGGTAAACAGATTAAACGCGTCTGTTCTGCGAGTCACGTAGGTGAGCATCAACTGTGTTCGTTATTAACGTAATCAGGTGCAGCTGAGCCGCGATGCGCGAATACGCTCCAACACGGTCAGTTTTTACGCAAACGATCGCGAAATGTATCGATTTCGCTCTAACTTATATTTCTTGCAAATCTACAAAGTTCTGTCTGTTTCTATTCTTCACCTAAATGTCCAATCCGATTCGATTCAAGTTATCTTAAATCGAACCGATTTCCCCCAAAGTGGTCTACAAACAAGGAATTTGGATCGAATTTCGTGCCAGTTTTCCCTCTCGCGAATGAACTGGGAGTCAACACGAAGCAAGAAAAACGTAAAACTTCGTCAGGGAAAATTGTAAAAGGATAAAGAGTGTAAGCAGACGAAGGGTTGTTTCGTTGAACGAGGACAGCGAGTCGAGTCGAGTCGAGTCGCGTTGGAATTTCGGTCGGAAAGGCTTCAGATCTTACACGAGCCATCGTGCTTGAGAAACTCCTATTTTCCACCCTTATCCACCCACCCCTTTCGCGAACCTAACCGAGGAAAGAAGAAGACGAGAATAGCGAGGAGGAAGGAAGGGAAAGTTCTAACGCACCAGGCTACATTTGCATTTCTCGACACTTAAGTCCGAGAGGCGCACCGACGTTATGCAAATCTTAATTCGCCTCACTGGAAAACTCGTAAAATTACCGAGCTTTTCCGTAATAAAGCCTCAAATTACTTGCACACCTTTCAACCCTTCCCTGTTTGCCTCGTCACCTTACTGAAAAAACAATTTCCCTCTATTGCTTTCTCCTGATAACCATTATCATTTAGGAAAACGATCGTTCAACAGACTGCTTGATATTAAAACGAAATTAGACTATTCAGACTTTCCTTCCCTCCCCATTAAATGGATCATTCTCACAATCAATATCAACTTTCTCGCAAGTACTTGTTCGAAATATAACATCTGAGCTCCTTTTTAATATTTATCGAGTATAAGTTCAGAGTTCAAAGAATTTAATCATAAATTTTTAAATTTTTAAATCAATGCGCGTTTTAAAAACCGTTCTCCTAACACCATCTGACAGAATTTAGCAAAAGTAATGGAATAACAGTTCACTATAGTCATCTAGCGGAGAGATCGCTAATCTATTTCAACCGTTTTTACAAAATGGTGCTAGAGGTACATTCTTCAGAACACGCAATGATATAAAATTTACAAATATATTAAACAATAGATGGTATATGCAAATAAATAATTAATTATTAAGTTTTATGTAACTGAGAGTTACCAATATAAGGAAGTAATTATCTAGTTATGAGCTGAAAACTGTACTCACCGCAAAACGACCAACAGCGTAGAGTGAACATCTTGGAATTAGCGATTCCGTGATCACACCAAATATTAAAGTCATAAACACGAATTTTTATGAAATTAGAAACACTATAAACTGTTCTTTTACTCACACGACACTTAACTAAACAATTATTACTGAATCGCTTGAAAAACACGACCCGCGTTAGACTGTTCGACGCGTTCGTATGTTCCGGGCAACTTTCTCGAAGCGACTGACTAGAGGTCGCGTCGGAGAGAAGAAAATCAGACGCTCCGTCAGTTATGTTTACACGGAGTTAATCCCCGACTTTATATTTTAAATCTTATTGCGCATAGATTGTACACAATAACACACGTTTTAAATATAAAATATATCATTTGCAACTAATTAAATTTTGTATTCTTTTTCAATCGAATAAAAATGTCACTATCCTTTGCTAAGTTGCTGGTAAATTTTCGCATATTGGCGCCACTGATACTTCTTTCCAGATGGTTTCTCCAGTGACTAATTCATAGTGGTAAAACTCGGAAAAGTGTGCTTTAAAGCCGGTGCATGTTCCTGAAATGAATTTTTAAACTTTGGTAAGGTCATGAACGAAGACGGAAAAGATTTTGTGCTTGAAAAACATTTATTTTCACGTTGATAACGATAACTGATTTGCTCTATGTTTACTTGGAAACACACCTCCCTTTAAACTGTCGGTAATTTGGAAAATTTCAAACGTAAAGTTTGTCGAATGTTCCCTTTTCTTAGAAAATTGTGCTCCAAAAAATGCATACTGTAGGTTTTTTTACAATTATCTGTAATTATCAGTTACACCTACCCACATGTTTCTTCGGTAATGTTACTGGGTGTGCTTGTTTGCCACAATCGTTCTGTTTTTAAGTTGTTAAGTCACCGTACATTACCCCAAAACGTACGGTGTTCATCGACGAATTAAAAATATAAATGACTTATGGATCGTTCGTACTAAAATCTGTATGAACTTGGCGAAAATTGTTGTTAACAGAGTACGTATTGCTGATAACGATTTAGTCACAGAATTAATTTATCAAAATGATTCTGACGAATGACTCAACAAAGAATCATCGTTCGAAATTACTGAGAATACGTGGATCTTTCTTTTTTAATATTTATTGAAAAAAATAGTCAAAATATATGAACAGTTGATACTTGTTAACTGCAAATTAAATATTTCCACTATTCAATTAACTAAACAACTTGTTCCACATTTCTTCTGTATCATAATAAAAATCTAATTTTTATTTTGTAGATAAGAAGCAATTCCGACTTTACATTAAAACTTTTAATTTGTATTGGAATTGAAATAACATAATGACAGAATATAAGCTTGTAGTTGTGGGAGCTGGAGGTGTTGGCAAGTCTGCGCTTACAATCCAATTAATACAAAATCATTTTGTAGACGAATATGATCCCACTATAGAAGATTCTTATAGGAAACAAGTGAGTCTTTATTATGCAATGATTAAAAAATTATTTGAAATAAAAATTAATTTATAAGATTCATGGTTGTATCAAGTATTTTAAATGTAGGTAGTCATAGATGGGGAGACGTGTCTTTTAGATATATTAGACACAGCAGGTCAAGAAGAGTATAGTGCAATGAGAGACCAGTACATGAGAACTGGAGAAGGATTCTTATTAGTATTTGCTGTAAATTCAGCTAAAAGTTTTGAAGTATGCAAGTCTTATCCTTAATTATTCAATTCTTCTTGGAAACTTTAAACAGGAGTTTGGTATTATAGGATATAGCAACATACAGGGAACAAATAAAAAGAGTAAAAGATGCAGAAGAATCCATGGTGCCAATGGTGCTGGTAGGAAATAAATGTGATCTTCAACAATCCTGGGCGGTAAATATGACGCAAGCGAGGGAAGTCGCTCGTCAGTATGGTGTGCCTTTCGTTGAAACTTCTGCCAAAACGAGAATGGGAGTAGATGATGCTTTTTATACTTTGGTAAATAAATACATATCTATCTTTGTTTACATTGAACAAAGATTTGTATTAATGTTTATGTTGATAAATTATAGGTAAGAGAAATCCGAAAAGACAAAGAACTTAGTGGTAAGGAGAAAAAAAGAGGTAAGAGGACAAGTAACTCCGGCCGTAGGAGACGTCGATGCTGTTTATTTTAAATCGCTAAGACACGTTAATTTTCTCATTCGATACATTAACGCAGAAATAGATTGTAAAAATCATTAGATTATGTTCACTTTACACACATTTTTGCAGCTTCCTCTATAGAATATTGTAATAATTTACAAGCACAAGTTTTTCTATACATTGGGAGGGAAAAAAACAAAGTATGTAATAGCATTGTATAATATCGCATACATTTTTACTCTTGAAGTTAAATCTCATAAAATTCATTCTTTGTTCAACAGTCTGCCATATAACTCTTAATATTCCATTAGCAACAACATGTTAACCCTTGATTGCATAGAATAGTCGGTATCGAAAATATTTTTTAGACCATCCGCTTACCTTACTGTCATTGTATGCATGAAACCAAGTATTATCCAATGAAGGAATTGCATAGCTTTAGGTATTGTGGATGGGAAATATAATACGTAACTCGTTAAGCGTAACAATGTTCGTCGTGCATATCTTTTACATGGTTTATTCAGTTAGTCTAATATAGTTTTAAACGTATATTTAATTGAATGTATTTTTAATCTTTATTTCTATAATCTACTACGCACAATGAAAAATTCCATTTACCTAATCAAGAAGATAACAAATCATAGGACTCAAAGAAGTAAAATGTGGATAACTCATTTTGTGCTGTGATTAAATAATCTTAAGCATGCCATGCTAGTTAGGTATTACTATGATTAAGTATGCAATTTTAACATAAATGCCTATTTACAAGTTTTAGAATATATAGGTTCGTTCGCGTTTCCTTTTTTTAGTGCAATTAAAAATGTATATTCAATACTCCTTTATACGAGAAACGAAATAAGCTTTTGCTTATGTAGAAAATAATACGTGGTTAATTTCTATAGAAATGTTCGTAGTTATTTACATTAAGTAAAATCGGTAGGTATAAACTTACGTTAATTTTAGTACACGAACGTAAATATCATTTTTATTAATTTGTTCCACTGTAGAATTAGAAGCCTGTAGCAGTTATAATTTAAGAATTATATAAAATCGATACTACGATTTACATTGATATTTGAATGTTTAGTTATATCTCTTTATAGTAAAGAGATAGTATGTCTTATCACATTTTTCTACCATTTGTCTCGTCGTTTTCATGAAATTATTATTATGAAATTTAATCGTGATTATACGATGAGAAATATATATTATCTTGACATTACAAATATCAATTGTAAACTCGTAGTTATATACTTTAATATTTGTTCAGACAATAATCTGAATCGATAACGTATACAAAATTAATTTTTTCTATAAAATCCACGACGTCGTATAGAAGATTTAGTATTCCACGTCTCGGATCTGACTGAATTTTGAACAATCAAGGGTTAAATACTTTGCTAAATGATCTAAATAGTACAATTTGCAAATATTCTTATATATGTAAACGCGCAAATTTGTAATACTAGCTTTTTCAAATATTGAAAATGTGTATATATAAAATTGCACAGCATAGGTGTTATTATGTAGTTCAAATTCGTAATAAAACTTTGTACAAAAAGTGTTCTTTATATTCATTCTATCTTGAATGATTGTCTTTAAATATTAATTATAGGCCATCTATGCTGTTTGGTTTTATAATATTTAAAAAAAAAGAACGATTAAAAAATCGTTAATTAATCAATTTTATTCTACGAACGTTTCATGTAAAAAATTACTTTATCCAAATCAAACGGTCCTAAAATATTGAACAATTAAATTTTTGAAATCAAAGTTTATGCATCAGTATATCATAATATGTAATTATATTTAATGTAAACTCTGCCGTTTAAAAGGATTTTTTAAAAAAGTTAGACATATTCATGTTACGTCTATACTTTTTATTCTTTTATTCAGAATACATTATCAACTGAAATAAATATCATACAAGCATACCACACTAAGTACAAATTTAAAGCAATGTTTTTCTTTTTATTTGATACATTTATTGAACATATTAACTCAATTACGAAACATACCGGTAAAAATGCAAATATAAAATAATTATGAATATTTCGCAATAATGAACTTCTATGTTAACAAGTTTGATATAGTACTCATTTCTAAAAGTGGAATATAAAATAAATTTATAATAATTCAATATGCTTTTCCATTATTAAAAACAGCCTTATTTTAAACGAGACATTGAAGAGAGTTACAAGACATTTTAGTATGTCAAATATCTTAATTTTTTAATAACATGGTAATTAATATATATATATATATTGTTAAATTTTCTAAGAGTTTTTGTATTAATTGATAAAAATTTTTAATTTAACACGTTTTTCATTTAATAGCATGGTAAAAATATTGCAACGATACGAATGTAATAATTAGTTTATAAAATAATTGGAATTAATAAAAAAAGACTTCATTTATAAATATCAGATGGTTTTTTTGACCTGTTTCAACTATTCTAAGTTAATAGTTTTATCAAAGATCGAAGGAATCAATCAGTATTTTCTAGTACAGTAAAAGCTGGATATATGCAACAAACATTCTGGGCATTTAATGTTGCATATATCCAGCCGAGGTGTCGATTCTGAGCATTTAATGTTGCATATATCCAGCCGAGGTGTCGATTCTGGGCATTTAATGTTGCATTTGGTGTACGGCCTGCCTTATGTTTGGTATTATTTTCATTAAGAAAAAGTTAAAAATAAAAAAGTTTTATCGTTCAATTAGTATTAGACACACCGATATTACGGTCGGATCATATTACACGGTTTCCTCGTCGAGCGGCTCGGTTCGCCTAGGGGATCCCCCCAAGTGAAGGGGATAGCGATGTTGCATATATCCAACCAAACTTTTGTTGCACATATCCAGCTTTTACTGTATTGAGGAATTGGGAAACTATGTGCAGTACCGAGCATTATAGGCTTCCCGAGGAAGAATGACAACGTACAGCATGTCCCTCGAAGAGATAATTGCCGAGGTGATTTTAAACAACATTTTCCTTTGCCAAAATGTTGATTAAAACTTAGTTTTTGAGTTATTAATGAACAATACGGGCCAGGTAGAACACGCGCAGATGCGACCGCGGAAGTGTCGGCTGTGAACCGACGTACCGAATAGTTGGTAGTGCGCGGGTAGCCTACTATTCTCGATACTGTACCATGCAAATACATACATACTCCACATTTTTGGTTTAGTTTGCATTTATTTTCGAGCACCTAAGTAAATATAAAATCGTTATACGCCTATATGATTCTGTATGTAACTATATCACTGTCATGTTACTGTTTACTATACGTATAAGCTAATTTCTAATTACATACGAAACGGTAAATGTAGGCTTGTGTGTATACAGTAATGTATATGTATATATATATATATATATATACATATATATATATATATATATGGCACGTCAGTCTGTACGTTTAATTACTTAAACCACTTAGGAGTAATTATTAAATACTACCGTGTATCTGTCATTAAATTTTATAAATTGTTTTGTTACGTTTGGCATTGTTCATGGCGAATGGCTTTAGCACTACCGTATCATTTCCATGTACTTTTGTTTATGTTTGCTTAGCATTTCGGTCACGGTCACTAATTGTTTTATCGTCGGCTAAAAAAGCATATTTATCAATGAATATTCATCCAGTTGTAATTACGTACCGTACATATTTATATTGAACTTGTAAACGTACCTGTGACTTTGATAAAGCTTGTAGTTCTTTCAAGTGAGAAACACAAATGTGATGTAACGTTGCCAAATCTCTTGCTGTATCTGAAACACAACTCCTGTTTCTTGGATCTGCACCTTCAGATTCTGGTTTTTCAGTCACGTTCTACGGTATAACAAGTTCAGATTATTTAAAAATGAAATTTTATTTTGTGCAACTTAAGTTAAAAAAAAAAAAAAAAAAAAAACAAATACATACAGATAATTGATCAAGAAAGACAACCATTCTTTCTTTGTTCTTGAGAATAAATGGATTGACTACTTCCATGTATGGTTCTTTACCGCCAAATTCTACTAAATTGGCCAAGTTTTGTAAACATTTTGCAACCATTACTAACGATCTATAAAATTATTTTTTTATAATTAATGAATAATTCATTCAATTCATCAAATTTCTTACGTTTAATAAAAACCTACCCTACCTTGCGGCAGCTGGAGGTGGAGGTTCAGCTATCAAGTTAAATGACCTAGGATTTAATATGGCAGGGCACAGTAGGCGTAAAAATATAAATCCACTGACTACTCGCGTTCTGACTAGTCTCTCATGCGGCCATTTGGCAACAACTGCTCTTTGCAAACATCCACAAATATATCTCAAGGTTCTTGGACACGCATCAGGACTTGTAAAAATGCTCAATGTCACCTCGTCTAGGACCTAAAGTAACCGTGATTGTAATTCATAATTATCAGAAATACTTGAATTTTAAATTACGTTTATCTACCTGTAGTAAAAATTCTGCATTACTGCACGCATCTTCTGGAGAATCCATTTTTGTTGGATTTAATTCACAGCTTTGTTTACTTTCAATTAATTTGACTATAGTGTCACGTAAAGCTGCTTTTAGAAACGAGGTACAAACTGATTTCATGTACAAATCCATTAAAGTAGTTGTAAGGCTAGCAGCTCTAAACAGTGTTGGCGTTTCGTCTTCTTTGTCCACCTAAATAATACATGAAGTAGATTTAACAGAAGCAGCGATTTAATTGATTGTTTCTTTAAAACAAATACAAATCAACATACTTCTGCTTGATTCAGCGATCTTAAAAGATCTGCTTCTTTCCTTTCGTGCCTAAATATTCTAAGTAAACTATTTGCCAGTGGTACTCTATCCAAATGACACACATCTGCTAGTGCTCTAACAACGTGTAGATCTGGATCCAATAACAGTTGTTGTAATGGACTATATTCTTCGGGAGGCATCGCAAGATCATGCCGATATCTGTAATATTATCAGTGAATAAAAAACACAGTAGCATTTGACAGTTTAGGTACTTGGTGAAACTTATAATACCGTTACCTTATTCGTAAACGCAACACACCCCATTCACCTATCGGGGTAACTCCTGATAACGGATACCATTCATCCATTTCTTCTCCGTTCGTTAAACTTGCCAGCTCGACGGTCAATTCTGCAACTTCGGTATCCTTACTACGTTTTCCCTTATTGTACAATGTTAAAGAAAATGACATAACATCTGGTGGTACATCCCTGTTAAATAATTTATGGTATACATTATTCAGACATAAATATTTTTAATAATTAATCATATACATACTCTAAAATGAACTCTTCATCCCAGATTGGATGTAATCCAGTCTTAACCTTTGTACGAGCAACTTTTACATTGTTTAGAGCCACTATGATGAATGGGTTTGGTACTAACTTATATGGAAGTCTATGCGCGTCTAAAATATGCAGATGTAACGAACGCAATTCACGAAGACGAGCAACCTTCGGAGCACGAGTAAGTTGTGATACACATAATGGTTTCAAGGCATTAATCCAGTCTAAAGCATTCTCTGAATTTGGAGCGGCCAAATATGTTATCGTGGCTAAACATGGTAAAGCACGTTCAACTAATTGAAAGCAATGAGGTCTATCGAACACGCTTTCATGAACCTAAAAGAACTACATCTCAGGAAAGAATTTCCATAATTTGATTGTTATCGTTATTATTACTTAATGAATATTCTTTGGTTAATGTTAGTACAATTAAAAGTAGAAAATACACATTTTTTGTTAACTTAAACGATTGATATACATAAGAAAAACTTTTATTATAGTTAATGTAGTCTATTTACCTGATACAAATAAGCACAGCTTAAATCGATCAGACCCTTAGGTTTGGTCCTTTTTGGATTGTCATACAAGTATAAATGAGTATCAGTAGCATCTACTAAAAGTACAAAGTATAGCGCTTTCCACTTTTTGTTTTTTTCCGATTTCTTTTCTAAATATCCTTGCATCTTAATTCCCTTATTTTTCTTTGCTCCAGACTGTTCGCGACATTCCCTAAGAGTCGCGTATATCTTTTCTGCATGTTGTACTTCTCTATTTACTCTTACACTACCATCAGGTTCAGTTACCATTGCTTGAACCAAAGTATGTCCTTCCACTATTTGTTCTTTCCGATATCTGAAAACACAGTTTTAGTCGAAGTATATACATTTCGGAATAATTTGATATTCATGAACTTGCCGTACCTATTGATAACAGCATCGAGACATTCGAAAGTTCGACCACCCATAAGATAGCGCACACCTTTCTTTTCGATCCTAAATCTTTGAATCTGATTGTTTATATGAAAGAAAAGCGAATAATCCCCTGGACTATTGTCTGAAGGTCTGACCTAAGTAACGGATATTTATTTCTAATTAATATTAATGCCACCAATGAAAACCAATGAAAGAACAAGAATTCGAATATAAATAAATTACCAAGAAACTACCAGGTCCGGCTTTCACTAACATATCAACAGCTTCACTTTTTGTGACATTAGGATGGAACCAAGAGAACACAGTGTTAGGATCAATAGAATCATCCAAATCTTCCACTAATTCGCGAAAGATTAAGCCCTGTTCACCCGTCCTATGAGCGGTTACCCATAACCAACCATCCCCCATATCATTGTGTACAAAAAATATGTCACCCTTCTGGAAGCTCAACTCATCTGTATCAGGCATTTTTGTATACGGTAATATCGCAACTATCCGTTTTTTGTCATTCACTGGTTCAGGAGGTGGAGTAGGATGTATAAGTCTTTCTCTCTTTAAAAGATCCGAGCAATGGGTATAATATGCAACTAAATCTGACAAGCTATTGAATTGTCTGCCACCTATAATAAGAATACCATTTTGTATTAATACATAAATAAGTTATGACTGTTTTTGCCATACCTATGTAATAGTCTCCACACACAGCTGTAATTCTAAAATGATTAATGCCAGTTCTTCCTAAATAAGACAATACATAACTTCCAGGCTTTCTGTCACTTTCACGCACTAGATAGCTACCCATTTTACTTGCATCCCATAGTCTTTCTTCTGCAGTAAATCTATCTAATCTACCATGATACCACCTGTAAAACATTCATGTGTTAATAATCTAATATTAGTTGAAATTAAAATATCTATTAGATTTGAACAAGGTCTTACTGATTTTCTGGAGGGGCTGTTAATAATGTGGCATTAGCACTATCAGGTTCCTCTGTATCTTGAATATCATCTGGTATATTTTCAAGAAAAGGATCAAATTCATTTTCTGCATTCATAGATTCATTCTGTCCACCATCTTCACTGCCAGTGCTAGGTGAGCCACCTTTGCTGTTATGATCCATCTGTGAACATAATTACATTAAAATATACATTGATTATTTTATGTGAAAATTTATAAAAATTTTTTCCATGCAGGACAAAAATAAAATATCAAGGGGGAAGATAAATGCTTTTATTTTTACATTGTACAGTATAAGTGTATACTTTAAATATAACATATATTTTTGTCAACAAAACACAAATACCATGTGCGAATTTCTCTTCATAATTCTCTTGTATCTACTATCTTCCCTTGATATTTACTTGTGCCGTTCAAATCAATTAAAAACCATTATACGTAAACGATACTATAAGTTCTTTTCACCGAAATATTATAAAAAAAATAATTAGAAATTTGTAGGAATCGTTAAAACTCTGCAAGTAGACATACATCTTTAAATGTACAATTTTACTTAATTTCCCTTTGTTTTATAATCAATATTTTTAAGGAGAGCGTGATAACAGATGAATAATCTAAGATGAATAATACTCGTAAGTACCTTAGCACTGTTGGACACGCTCGGACCTCCACGCACAAATTCTGCCATTTCTGATTCACCCACACTCTTTCATACACAGGTGTATGAAAAAAATCAAGAGTATTAATCCAACGGCATCCGTTTTATTGCAACCCCTTTTACTACAGTTATATACAAAAGAAAACTATTATTGATACAAAATGTATTGACGTTTCTCAGCAGCCATTTTACTACTGCACGCGGAGACCGCAGAATACCTACGGACAGACGATGAATCTTAACGCATAAAAATGGTAAATTGTATTATACGTTCACGGCATGTTTTTAAAATAAATCATTCATCAACCGATTCAATAACAAGGATTTTCGCACATCGAACGCGGTATGATTTGCTTTAAAATACTTTTATAAATAATACACCATTGACAATGAATACATAGAGATAATTGAATATCTCGGTAATCATGATCAAAAGTGCTGACTACTATTATTCATATTATTTCAGCGAAATATACATTTCAACGTCGATTATAATGTAAAATAAATTTTATTTTCAGTATAGGAAATGCAAATGAGGGAAATATACTTATACCGCAGTTCATTAGAGTCCATAACTGCGAAAAGACCAGTTTTCGTTCTTCGCGCTTCTCCAGTACGCATCTTCGCCCTGATTGGCGATACTTCCAAACGAACTGGAAAGCGATTAGCAGAGAGCTTGCTGCGTTCCCCCACCATTTTCCAACCTGCGCGTCGCAGTTATGGACTCTGGTGAACTGCGGTATACATAAAATTGTGCAGTGATCGCTAGTTACTTTTTGAAATTTTTCGCTCGCTACGTGTTAGCCTTTTTGAAATGGCGGAAATCTGTTCTGGTATACAACGTCAAACCGAATGTCACTGGCATTTAAATTATTTTTCTTGCAATAATCATCTGTCGTAGTAATTGACGATTATTGAATCGTAATGGTAAGATCATGGGTTTTATTACTTCGTAGTTAGTAATTTAAATAAGTATAAGAATATATGACTTTAAATCACTTGTAACTTTATTATAACCTTTGAAACGGTTTGAATTTAAACAATTTATTTTAATGATTTTATTTGGGGGACGTATAGTCTGCCCTATTTAACTTCCAGAGTCTATTGACAGTAATTTTATTACTGATATGCACATGTACATATATCAGGTCCATTGTACCCAGTTTGTTGGACAAGAGATTAGGCAAAGTTGGGTATGTATCAACAGATGCTAACTCGTAACTTATATCTTAACAAAATATGGCATGGAAAATGGTATTAATGATATTTGAAAATTAGCTTGCAGGGAACCTTTTGGAAATGTGCAAGAATTGGTGAAAGAAAGAGCCCGTACGTGGCAGTCAGTTGTGTTTTCATGGCTTTTAGTATTTTGTTTTGGACCTAAAATTTATATCAAAATACTGAATGGTTAAGAACTATATCAACCAGAGAGGTGTAATTATGTGTCAATTGTAAACACAGTGGGGTTAAACACAAATAAAAAGTATATTTATCTACAAGGTTTAAATACCTGTTGTTATGTATCATCTAGAAGAATGGACTTGAATGGAAACAGAGAAAAAGGAAGAAAAGATAAAAATCAGTACTATTTGCATGGTATGTTTTATTTGTCAACACGTTTTTTTTTTGTTTTTCAAAGCTATATAATTATCCAATTTGAGCACATTTTCTCACCGTATTCTCATAATATATTTTTTTCTATAAACAACAACATTTGTTTTTAATATAGTTATTGTAGAATCGTTATATTGAGCAGTGTTTTATGATATACAATATTTGTTAAATAGGTATATTTAACATACGCATGTGTATGTTGTGTGTGTGGGTTGTGTATATATATGTGTGTGTCCTTACTTCGCGGATATGCTACTATTCCAATGATGGAAAACCACGCACCATGACTAAAACTTGTACTCTGTAATAGAAGATATTTACGAGAACGATAATATTAGTAGAAAGTTCTGACGTCATTGGTGCGAAAAATGTTATCCATTAAGGAGAATCAAGCCTTTCTACTAGCACCGTTTTTGCATACAGATCCTAATTACAGAGTAAGATATGATTAACGGTTTTGCGAGGAACATTGAAAAATGATACAAAGCACAACCTACTAGGAACGCTTATTGTCGATTCTTTGAAAAGAAAAATATTCTCTTCGCAATCGTATCGCAAATGATGTATATGGTAAGATAACACCTCGTTCATACATGTCATTGAATAAGAGAACTAAGCGACGTATGTTGAATAATGTGACAATTAATCTTGATAACAGCAGACGAACATTGAGTAAAGCGTGTAACACGAAAAGAAGCTCGATCGTTACCCTATCGAATAACAGCAGATTCCTCGCAGTCAACCACGCCGGTTATACTTCTTACAATTGTGGTCTCGTTGAATCGTTGGCAATATGAGGTAAGTTATTTGCCTACGTTAATTAAAAAAATACATAAAATCAGAAAAGTAAGGTCTAGTATTTGTCCTAAAATATACAATTAGTACGGTACTATACGCCCTACGGATATGAATCTGACTTAGATATGACGTGTTAACGTTTGTTAAGATGTCACTTAACGATCTCGGTTATCGCGCCGATAAATAAACGTATTATCTTATTATCCCTTACGTACAAATTAGTATGCTAATTATTTGTCTGCGTTCGAGTACAATCGAATAGTTGATTAAGAAGGGGTCGATCCGCGATTGGCCGCGAATCTTGCAGAAATGGACGTAAAATTAACAATTTAATTAACAAGAATCATTACGACGTAACGGTGTTAATAAGATATAATAAGGGATGTTCATTTCATAACGATGGAAAATAATTTCTCGATATGATCGATCAATGAATCGGTAAAATCGAAAGAATCGTTGTTGCATTTGTGTATTCGCAAACGATGATATATCGTGAAAAATGACACTCTTGGTGGCCCACTCGAGAATAGACACCCTGCATATGTAAGGCTTTCGACGCTAACATTTATAAAACTTACATCGTCACTTCTAATAAGACGACAAATCGGAAATGATCGTTTGTATCAATGAAAAGACTCTAGTTTCCCTTTCGTTCCTCGTTGATTAAAAAAATATTTGACAACGTTACATTCAGTCCAACTAAAGAACACATTTCGCTCACGACAATTATACTCTTTTCCCCGCGTTTGAAAAACGGATAAAAGGGTCATAAAAAATACATTCGTAAGCATTTCTTTTCATCATTTTAAAATTCGCAACAGTTTCGTCCGCGGACTAGATCCGCGATGAGAGATCGCTTGTTCTCGCTGTATCGTCGTGAGAAGTTTAGGCTACGAATACACGTATAATCATATGCAAGGGATGCATTTCCTCGCTAAGAGGAAGTCTACGCAGCTTTTTTCTCAAACGAATGGTATCGAAAAGGTCGCTACACTTTCTTCTTAGCAAAGAAAGGCATCCACTGCACGCTACTATACTCGTGGCCTGACGCTTCATCGTGTCGTTGAGAGATCGCAGTAAGAACTTTCCGTCGTTCAATTAAAACTTCTTTGTTAGTCGCGGTTTTTTCACTTCGTCGCCTGATATTGGTATATGTCGTTCGTTCGTTCGTTTCATCACATTTTGTTTGCGCTTGATTACGTTATTTGGAACCTCGGCACGTATGTTTTACTAATCGGTACGGTTTATCGTAGACTGAGGAAAATGAGCAAGCTAAACGCGTAGATTCGTGTGCTACTAGTTTTTACATTCGCACAGCTTCGTATGTTTGGGCTGTCTCGATTTTGAAACACGTTTTTGTCCTTGATAAAAGGCGCCCGTGGATCGACGGTGGTCGAGGTCGTCATGTGCTTATTGTAAACGATCCTCGCGGTGCTTTTCTGCATCGCTGGTGTGCTCATCTGGTGGAAGATTCGATTGATCGTCGTGACTTGGGCAAACTTTGATTTTCCTTTGCTCAACTTTTTCCAGCTTGCAGACGTGGCTCGGGTGGGCGGCGTTGCTCGTTCGATCTCTGAAAACAATTGAACCGAAACGTTTACGCGAAAGGAGAACAGTGTCTCAGTGGTCTAGAGATTTGCACGGAATTTCCATGATCGAATCGTCTTTCAACCTTTTGTGGTCGGAAGCCGCCGAGTTTCTATTCCATTCCAGTCTATTCTATTCTGATCTATTAGCGTAACACGACCTGATTAAACTCGTTAGATTCTCGCCAAGACATTCTCTATTAATTTTGGTCGAATCGCGTCGCTGACCGGTGAAGGGGTGAAAATTTTGATCGCGCGATCAGATCCCGTCAAGACGATGATAATAATAATAACAACGCGTTCGTCGATCATTGGCTTACCGTACACCCTAAGGGTGGCTTCCGCTTTGCCCATGCTCGAGGACGCTGAACACGTGTACTCCCCTAAATCCGATTTTTCCAAATGCCTTATCTTTAGTTCGCTCGTTGTCTTCCATTCCTCGTCCGGATGTCCTCGTTCGTCAATTTCGTATCTGCCGCTGCATTGACAAATCGTTTCACTTGAATATTCGGAATACGAATATGACATCGATTTTCTTTGGTCAGACGCGAACGTCAGATTCCATGGTAAACGAACAAAGGGTGAGGAATCGAATCGAAACAAAGGGAAACTACGTACCCGCTCATGATAACTTGTTCCTTTCTAGTCCACAAGTTAATCGTCTTTGGATAAGCTTCGATCAAACAGATTAACGATACGTCCGTGTCCAGAGGCGAGCCTAACAGCTGGTTGGGAACTTTAGCGCTAGGCGGAACTAGAATTACAACGGATAAAAATTTCTACTTTCGATCGATTGATTTTTTTCTACAACCCTTTAAATATCGAGGTGTTCGCGTGTCGAACTGTATTCGAACGGATGATTCAGCAATTAATAAGAGGAATACCTACTACCGAACAGCATATAAATCTTGCAAATATTTATTCCATCTCGGTTGAGATTCAATCTGGTAGAGATCGTTAAACACGGCAAGTTTGTTAACGAAAGGGAGTTTGATTACATCGAGCGGAGAAGTTTTATTTAAGTTGTAGGAATAATCAAAGCGATTAGATGTCTTCGTTTAGCAGACAGCGGCAATAATTTTCGGTAAAGTATTATATAATGGTGGAGAGGAGAGTAGAGGGAAAGGAGGATACTCACAGTTTACCCTTAGATAGACTCTCTTGCTGACTGCCGGAGGCACTTCGTTTCTGGCTATGCAAAGATACGCTCCCATTTGCCTCCTGTCTACCCTAGTTAATTCCAGCTTCTCGCCGGACTGGTTGTCCACTGTAAAATCGCGCCTCGTATGAATATCTCGTTGAAAGCTCTCGCATACATATCGCTGGCCTCGCGCCAGTTTTCGCACATACACCAAATTACGCGGGAAATACGTCGTTTGCTCGTTAATACTAGGAAACCGCCGCCTATTACAACCCTAAATCTCGAAACCTCACCTTTGGAAATCGTTTACACGGTTGCCTTCAGCTCGATTTAACCAACACGATAGGTATTTCGTTTTTCCATGAAATTTTAATATAGACCTCGTAACGAACGCGTTGCGTTAAGTACCGAATACCTATTACCGGATGATGTATCAAACAGAATATTTAGAAAGTTGGTAAACGCGTATCGATTACATCGTTACAACGTGTATCAGCGTTTAATTATGCGTGCGCGTATGCAACGCTTTTGAAATCAATGAAACGCTATGAATTACATTATAATCGACCGATCGCACGGCATAAATCATCGAGCCGTTTCGCCAGTCCGATAGAACGTGTCACGAGCTTAATGAGATCCATCGAAAATGGAAGATTCATTATTTGCATTGACAGCTCGCGCAACCTCTCTGCTAGTCGACGAATATTTTTGTTACAGTACCGATTCCGCTCGAAATATTGTGCGTCGATTTATCAATACCGTTCGAAAAATTGTTCCATTAACGAATCTGTCGCGTATTCGATGCGAACCACTCTCGGCACGTAACAGAATTTTCCAGGAACAGTGAAAATCGACAAATTACACGATACAATAGGTAGAAGGTTCGCGTACGTAACGCGGCGTATCCTGAAAATATATTGAAAGTCATAGTACGAACAAACTAATCTCTATTCGATGAGACGTATCTGGAACGTAATTGCTTTCGATTCTATGCATCACGTGCCTCCGCGAATTTACGACGTCTTCATGGTTCCGCTAAGCGGATCTTGATGCCGAATCGTCTCGGCTACCCACATTGGATAATTACTTCTCGAAGGTGTTTCAATTTCCTCGAATCTTCCATTTAAATTTTCATTCTACACCCTATCCGATCGATCAAACGATCGTTAACCGCTTCTCTATTGCGAACTATTCGAGTAGCTAGGACAGGGGGAGCGGGGCGACGAATTAATATAAAAAGAGGAGAATCGAACGTTATTTGTCACCGGCAATGACGGTCGCGAGAGTTCTCGAGACGAGATAAAAATGTAATATCTTACCTGGTATCAGCGGATCGTGAAGACCCCTCATAAGTATGAAACCACTTTTCTCGCGTCGCCAGAGCACACGAGGTGGCGGTCTTCCAGAGGCTTTACACGAGAGGGTGGCATTCTCACCCTCCAGTACGGAAACCTCACCCTCCGAGGTGCCGGAACTCAGTATATCTGGCGGGACTGAAAGAAAAGAAACCGGTCGATCTGCTTTGTAAGCGATAATCTGGACAACCGAAACCTTATCCACTTGGATAAGTTCAAACACGAATTCAACTTGGAGAATTTCGAGCTCGACGTGCACCGTATTCCCCGCATCGCCATCGCGTCGGGGAAACGCGTTTGAATTAACAGCTAGCAGGGGTTGAAATTACAGACCACAATGGAAATCGATCATGATTTTAACGGGTGGGTAGAGGGATAGCGGTTAGCGATAGGCACTAATTCAATGACATACTCGTTAATACCGATACCTATCTATCGATTTCGCTATTGATATTGGTAAGACGCAGTAACTAGAGGATCTCGATCTCAATATCCTTCCGGATCTAAAAAGTGTATATCGATTTCGAACAAAAACGTATATCTACGGTATCAAAAGGTAGCCGAGATTGAAGCTTGCATGAAAATCAGGCTGATTCGTCTATCCGGACCGAAATCAGGTTAAAACGCCTGGCCCCCCGTATACATATATGTATAGGCGAATTAAACGCTAGCTAACCCTGGCCAACGGAAAGAAACATTTTCGCGATGAAATCTCGTTTCTTTTGAAGAAAGGCACGAACCTCGGACCATTTCAATTACGCGAGTTCTGCTTGGACAATATTCCGTAGGTCGGGAGGGATCGCGGTTCGAGTTTCGGTGGGATGGAAGAAAAGGAAGAAAGAAAAAAAAAAAAAATGGAAGCGGGACCTTTCCTGTGTTTGCTTACAAAGGAATTTCATTCCATTCGGGCCGATCGCCCTTTCGAGTTGAATACCCAGCCAGGCATACGCACTCTCGATGAATCCTTTTTCTACCCCCTGCTGGTGTCCACGCACGCACGATACACACGATCCCCGCGTCTACGTTACACAGAAGCGAACCAGTACTCTGTGTACAGAGTGTCGGGGAAGTAACGCTCGTGGCTGAATAGTAACGAAACGTTTTTCTTCTCCCTCGGCGTATTCCAAAAGCTCGTCCTTCAATTTCAAGACGTTAATCAGTTTTTCATGCAAGTTCTTTTTGTTGAAACGTTACGGAAAGGCTAAGCTCCGCGAGCCACGGTCCTTATTTTGCCAACACCCTGTAAGCGGAGAGAAGCAAGTAGAGAGTAGCAGAGGGAAATGGAGGTGGGATGAGAGGGTGGAACGAATAGAAAGCAGGCGAGCAACGTAACGGTTACGGTCCGTTCTGGTGGGTCCCATTGAAACGTATTCTAGCGGCGAGGCGCGCATATTTTCCATCCCTTCTCGAGGTAGGCTAATCGAAACCAGTGCGTGCGTGAGTTGCGTGCGTGCGTGACGTCTGTAGGAGCGACCGCAAACAGCCGACCATAGCCGGCCGTAGGAATGCGGTATAACGCGCAATTAGGCATACCTAGGACATCCACGCATCCCAGCTGGCTCAACATGGGCTTCGTATTCAGTTGGCACATGTAGCAGCCTCGGTCAGCTTCCCGGAGATGGCGAATATGGAGCCGCGAAGTGGCTTCCTCCTCCTCCCTCGAGTCACTCTGATTCTTCGCCTTCGCGTTCTCAAACGTGACGAGAAACCGGGGCGAGTGGGTCACCGTTCGCTGACCCATCGACAATATCGTCTGGTCCTCCATTCGAAGCCATCCCACCTGAGACATTCGATACAAGTTTCACTTCTTTCTAACCCTTTCTTTTAATAAACATTAACGCCGATAACAGCGTCGAATCCCCTGAATCCGCTAGCTTCCTTGCTAAGTGGTAAGGTACATAACCGAGTTCCGTGCCACTTAGACGGGCAATACCGTGCATACTTCCTTTCATAAAGAACGCTCCGATTCTTGTAGTCGGGGAAAAAAACGGAATTCGCTGGAAAGAAGAGGGTTCGAGCAAAGTTTTCGCTAATTCGACGCCGGCAGCCGTCGGTTTACAGATTTTTTTTTTTTTTTTTTTCTCACGACCGGTAACAAGCAACCGAACCCTCCCAGGAAAATTTCAAAAGTTTACTTAGCCCCGACGCGGCGCCAAGTCTACCGGCAAAAACCGGAGGGGGAAACAACAACAGTTTTAGTTGAAACAACGATATCGCGATAGAATTAATGGGCAACGGTTGGCGGCGTGGCAGCTCGGTAGTAGGTAGAAGGCATCGCGAAAATTGCAAGCCGATTTACGGCAGGAAGTATGCGTTGCGGGGCGAATGATCCGAGGGAAAGAGAGGAAAATTGCCGGGAGTGAAAAGGGTGCCGAACGCTTTGCTTGCAAACGTTTAAACGGCAAATTTCTCGGTGAGGTGTCGATTTTACTGGTCGCCCGGGGCTGCTTCGCGAACGAACGCAAAATAAGACAACGTTTCCAAACGACGCTATACACCCCGGGTTGTTAATCGGGCCCCTCGCGTTTCAATCGTTTACATCGATCGGATGAAAAATAATGGAAAACGAAATCGCGGCTGAATGGAGTTCGAAAACATTCGTCGCATCGCGTCGTAATGCTGTTAACGCGTTGATTGCTTCCGTCGACCTCTCCGAATACACGGGTTACACGCTAAAACTTCTCAAAATCACAGCCAAAATAGTAACTTTAGAACTAGCGAATTCTCAAAAGTTTCAACCTGACCTCGGTGCAAGTAAATTAGCTATTAGAGAGGTGTAGGAATATTTGTTCGAACTTTCTTCGCAACCACTTTTTTACGATTCGATTTCGTGAGGAATGTCCAGCTAACGATCGACTAATTAGAAACTAGAGTCGTGTATTCACGCGTTTTTCTATGCCCGACGATCCGGGTGAAATTTTCTCACCTCTTTTCACTGTGTAAACTTTCGACGCGTGATAAAACGCGTTAAAATCCTGTGACGAGCCCAGCTGGCGTTATTTTACATTATTTTCGCGCTTTCAACGCGTCCATACCATTCACTCTGCTTATATGCGACAGTGTGAACACGTACGACCATATACCAGTAACCAAATAACACTCGATAACCGCAGATTTGTATTAGCACGAATCCATTCGACGAAACTACCCTCCTGGTACCATAGTCCACCTACCACCCTTCGGCGATACGAGCCTGTACCATTTGACCCTTAACTCGTTCCACGATATGGAACACGGTGCTGTCCCCAAGTAATATCCACTTCGCACTATTTATTCGACTTTATCCGTTTTTTAGTTTTATACCAGGCGCGATATCTCCCTTTCGACGTTCAACGACATGTTTAAACCAGAAGTCGTGGTTTGCTAGAGTCTCCAACAAAGAGCCCCGTAAAGTTAAATCATTCAAAGATAATAAATTATTCTGCCACAATCGCGAGCACCACTGTTGCGAATATTTCACAAAGTAGGGCAATTTAGCACACGCGACGAAATTTTTGTCCGGTGAAAAGGTTAATATTTGAAAGAGCAGCGTCGAATCACGATTTTTATAAAAATTCACGTCGGTTCGCTCTTTGTTTGGGGTGTGCTTTTGCCGTGCGTTTCCTCCTCGTACTAGCTGGCTTCGTTTCGTTAACGATGCGAAACAAAATAATTAAAGAAACCCCACTAATTGTTGCGCCGTAAATATGAAAATGCGAGGAACGGGAAATAATGGGGTTGGTGTATGCGCGTGTGTACATTGGAAATCAACGATGCCAGGTAAATGACCCTCCTCGTCAAACAAATTTCACGCGTTGCTACCACGAACCTTCTATCCGTTGTTGCGCGTTTTATCTCCTTGGTGCTCGAAAGAACTTGATAGAAACGTATGCGCTATCAGTGTTGAAAATTTAGTCGTGATATACCTCGTGAAAATTCAATTCCCCCGTTTACTCGCAACTTTGCAACGCGACGTCGCTGATCAAAACTTCACACCCTCCGTCGGTCTCGGCTCGTTTTCTCGGCAAAGCCTTTCTCGCGAAACTCCTTTGACCTATTGTTGTGCTAACACGCGAGAGTTTAAGACGCCTCTATTTTTCTTCGCGAACGCCCCACCAATTTCTTTCTTCTCGCAGCTTCCTTTCGCGTGGCTTCGGTTAAACGTTCATGAATACGTAACGCGGATTTTCCGAGAACACCGTTTGAAAAAAAAATTTCGAAAGAAAACGCCTCGAATCGAGTTAGACCGAGAATATTCGCCTTGGTTTATTGGTTCGTTCGAGGATATTCCACGTAATAATGCACTGAACTCGAGAGAATGAAATTAAGGAGGGAATGTGTTCCTTTATAAGTATAAGTATACAAAGTCTTTGTATTCGCATTTCGTAAAATGCGTAGAGAATGGAAAACGAAATCGACGAAGAGTCTTTTGTTCAAACTGGTTGGCAACTTCTCTCTCTCTCTCTCTCTCTACTTACTTTGCCGGAAAGATCTTTCCGTGTTTTCTTACCCCTGGTATATCGATCTGAACCGATTTTTCTAAAGCCTCGGTCCATCTGTAAGAAGCAAAGAAGAAGGGATTTCGAGACGAGCCCCGAAGCTTTTAGCGTGTAGCCACCGTTTCATCCAAATAGAACCGGGCAAATCGGCAATGCTAAACCCCTCTCTTTTCTTTATTCCGACTTTCTGCGGGGGAAAAAAAAAAGAAAAGAAAAAATGAGAAGGAACGTTTCTCTGAAAGGCTACGTCGCCTGGCGTCGCGAGGATGCTGATCGAGGAACGCGGTCATTTGCACCAGCCAGCGACTTCAAAGCGATTCTCCTCTTGTACTCGAGGCTGGAAAAGACGTCTGCCGAAAGTGGAAAGATTTATGGCTTCTGAAACTTCATCGGACGTGTTTGGATAGAGCTTTCCCCTGTGCCGAATGCCTAAAGTTATTGCGTCAAAGGGAATATTACGTCTGGCGTGAAACATAAACGAGAAACGTTTGAAAATTCGCCAGGGACGGTAAACCGATAACCGTGGACACCGATACGACGCGACGCGACGCGACGCGACGCGACGATCAAAGTCGCTTGTATTTCGGACGCATACGGATCGAGATGGAGCGAATAGTTGCTCGATTTCTCTCCCGACTCCAAACCAAGTTCAGATGAGAAAGGAATAATAAAAGATCGAAGACGAGCGTTTCCACGCTGCGATTGTAATCGTCGAATCGTGTTCTTATTCCCTTATTTATAGCCGACAAAATCCTCTCCCCCGTCTATACGATCGCGCATAAAAACCTCGTAAAAAGCGAAAAAATACGAGACAACGATCGACCTTCTCGAGGGAAATACCTTGAATCGAGAATGGAAGTGACCGACGAAACGAAAATCCTCCGGTCCCATCAAGAAATGATCGTCTTGCTTCACGAAATTTCCCATTCGTCTCGCGATTTTCTCGAAATCGATATCTTCTTTGCGCGTAAGTATGCGCGTCACGTTGCTTCGAGGACGTATCTTTCGAATTAACGAGCCTGAGTTTCCATAAAACGTAAACGCGTTCGCGCCTCTCAAATGACGGGACGAGAAAGAAAGTTACTATAGCCGAAAGTTCGAACAAAATTCACAAGATATTTCACTTCTTTCGACACGGTGCTTAAACGGTAAATGGTTGAACAGAAGAAAAAAAAAAAAAAGAAAAAAAATGAAAAATTGCAAAGAAGCAGCGCGAAAGAGAGCGCTTTTAGCGATGCCGCGGCACGTCGGAATTGTTGATCGTTGACTGATTTTAATGTCGATTTAATTTCCGGACCAAAAGGAAGAATGACGATTTCAATGATAACCAATCTTCCGGAAGAGCGGCGCGGCGTTTGTGAGTTAAATTAAATAAATTAGCATAGAAAATGAAACAAAGGGAGTTTCGTTTTTTTATAAACGGATGCGTATTAATCTGAACTGGAAGCTACTTAGGTATCTGGGTGAAAAATAACGATGGGGTTAATCGAAGTTCGCGACCGCGTAAACTTTCCATCGCGTGACACGCGAGACGACACCACGGATCGTTCATCGTATCCTTTCGCGTGGATTCGCTTATGCCTTTCCATTCATGGCGTTCCATTTCTGATTAACGCCCGAGTCTCGTCGACGACGCCACGACTTTGGCAACTCCGTTCCATCCCTTCAGCCACTTCCCCGAGCTTCCCATCAAGCATCGATGAACCAGAGTATTTTCGGGTATATGGAGTCGCTGCCAGGCCGATCGAGGGTGTGGGGACCAGAATGTACAGAGACAGAGACCGAGACGGAGATCGAGAAAGAGAGAAGGAATAGAGGGGTTGATGTCGAGAGAACAGTGCGGAGACGAGGTTGGAGGGAAAAGTGGAAGGGGTTGGTTGCGAGAGAGACGATGGGTATGAGTTGGCCGGAGTGGTGTTTCCCCGGGGTAAGCATGAGCATATACTTGCCCGGGGCTTATTCAGACAAATCGGTGATTGCTGCGGAGGCGAGCGAAAGGGTAGCTCGCCACACCATCCTTCCCCGTCCCTACCACCACCGCCACCGCCGCCACCGCCTCCGCTACCGGAACCGAACCGCACGCCACCTTGTTGGAGTAACGAAGACTGAGGGGATTTTAGCCAGAAATCCGCGATGGAGAGAAGAAGAGAAGAAGAGAAAGATGGACGGATAGTGGGATAGCGAGTTTTGGCCGAAGAGAGAGAAAGAGAGAGGAAGAGAGGGAGAAGTGGTAGCGGCGTGGATACAGAGACGAAGCGAGATCGTCGGGGTTAGAAGGAAGAAGCGGAGGATAGAAGGAGAGCGAAGAATGATTGTTTCCATGATTACAATAGAACGGAAGAGGAAAAGGGACGGGAGGGCTGGGTTAGCAGAAGGGTATGGGGAGCAATCTCTTAGCGCTAACGTAGATTCGTGGGCCAGGGTCTCTCGAAATATTACACCGGAGGGGTACCGAAGAGAGAGACCTTGCCGATGCCCACCAGGGAATTTCGTAACTTTGCCGGATAATGTGTGTCAGTCGTCGACGATGTTCCGGAATTTCGTCGAGAAGAAATCCTCGCGAGCTCGAATTCGCGCAAAGGGTACCAGCAGACCCGTACGTCGACGCCAATTCGATTTGCCAGCTTGCACGCGAACGGCTCTCTTTCGAGGAGCAACCTTCTCCGGTTAAAAACAATAGATATAGGTATTTTAGGAAAATGACGAAAGGAATTACAATGAAAAAGAGTAGCGAGCGTTATGCTTTCTTCAAAGTTTCCACTGCTCTCGAGAGTTTCTCACGGTGAGCGGACAAACCGATCGGGAATACGCGCAGAGATCCGATGTAATCGTATGCAGCACGAAATTATGCAAAATACAGGGATCGGGAAACTTTTTATCGGATAAGAGGTTCGTTTCTCCGGGATAGGTCGATCGTTATCCCGAACGAACCGTTATCTTTGTCGCTGAGGTAACGACTCTGCCGTCGACGTAATAGTTTCCGTTCTCGCTCTGCGCTGGACAAACTGTTGTTCCTTCGTGACAAAGTGCTTGAGACATTATCGACGGTTCCCGGGCCCCCGGAGAACGAAAGGATTCAAACACGACCGATCATCCCTTCCGCTTTCTTTCCGCCTGCAATTCTTTCTTCCTAGTCCAATCAATTAGGCTTGGACGATCTTCTTCGTTATTTTTCCAACGCGAGACAAGCTTGCGAATCACGTTTTTATACAAATTTCTGAATCTTCAATTTTCTTCGAGCCAAGATTCGAGCGTAGAGGAAATTGCCACGCATTATCGTGTTTTCGGGGAATCTCCAGCAGACGAGGAGCAAGCTCGGTGCTCGAAGCTCGTACGAATGATCGGTGTCGCATCGCATCGTGTAACCCGATGCATACAAGCATACAGGCAGATGTACGGGATGCGCACGACAGTCACTTCGGATTAATTACCAAGTGCAGCGTTATAGATAACGCGTAGGACCTAGGAGATGCGGGAATGGGCCGCGGGGCAAAGGGACGCGCGATACGATGTTAAATTGAACCTTTCGTCGGGTTGATTCCTCTGGTGCCAATGGCACACCGGTGCGTCGGCTAAAAGCAATTACCGGTGTCGGGCGTACGCGCGGGCACGTATCGCTCGGTGCACGTAAACACGCGGCAAGACACGAGGCTGCTACGCGCGATATAATATTGACTCGAGAGCCGAGAGCCATCCTTCGGTCCACAAACGGCTTCGCACTCTCCTAGGAAGAAGCTTATCTCGCGTTAATATCGGAACACCCAACTCCTTCGTCCAGCCAGAAGCTTTCTCGTTTTTCTGTAAACCCGTGGTAAGACTTGAACGTCGATTCCCGAGTTACGGTCAACGTCGGGCTAGCGAGATCATCCTTCTGGTGGACAAGTCCCGGAAGTAGCGTCGCAACATACTACAATCGGGTTAAGCGAAGCGGTATTATCCGTGTAAACGACACCAGCTCGGGTGCACGGCTTGCCACTTACGAAGGGAACTACTCGTTTCGGGATTTCGCGCTATTATCTGTCTTCTAGTAGCTCGCTTTGCATTGTCAGCGGATGAGAATGATAAAGCACGCGATAAAGAGTATAAAGAGATGTTGCCACTTTTACGAAATGCGGAATAAGTAACGGGGACGACAACTTGCCACTTATTGTTAGAGTGGCAATACTTTTCAGCTGAAAATTTCACGTGGATGGAAGCTTAATTTGTTCGTGAAAGCGAGCGTGGTCGAAGCAAAGAGAGAGAGAGTTGAGAATGTTGAGAAACAGGAGGACGCGTTAATTCGCTTGGAATTGAAACTTGCCGGTAAAAGAAGCTCATACATAAATACATGACTCGACGCGACACGTGTCCGCCACGCGAGGAGTTAATCACTCGCGGCAGAACACCGCTTAATTTCGTCTCGTTACTCACCGCGAAGCTTTAATGAATTGTGTACCTGGCGGGAAGTTTCGCGAACCTCTACCACCTCCGACGAATTCTCTCGCCGAGCGCGCAAAGTTTCGCTTTATTTCCAGCCGACGAGTGAACCGGCTAGGAAGCTTTTCGACGGAAAACCCGTTGGAAAGTTATTCTCGAAGAAGGAGTTGAAGGTGAACGAGGTGGAGGAGGTAAAAAGAGGAAGAAAGCGCAAAAAGACGCGAGTCAGTGACATCTGCCATGAGCACCCACGCGACCCATTTGTTTCCACGAGATTACCGAAATCTCGAATTCTCTTATCGCCCGGTGACCCGTGAACCCGTGAATCCGTGAATTCGTGAATTCGTGAATTCGAGAAGCAGTCTTGCAGAGGATCCGCTTGCACTTGCAACCCAGTCTGGCTAATTAACGCGTTCCATCGTTTCCACCGCTCTTCCCGTCCTTCTTTCTCGCCACTGTGGAACATTTAAATCCCTTACCTTGTAATTTCCTAGTTTCCGGATCGTGCACCGTAGGACGGCTTCCTTGCCGATCGCTGCGGTCACATTACCGATCGGCTCGGCGAAACTTGGCAAATCTGCAAAAAGAACAGGTGCGATTTTTATGAATCGATTTTCCATTCCCGATTCCCGATCCCCGATTTCCGATTCCCGATTCTGTTACCAGATCGCTCGACAACGATCGAGACGTGCTTAGCGTCGAAAATCTGGCGCATTATTCGCAGCCAGTGCCCGTCGAGATTTATGGCGCAAGTATATCATCTTGTTTGGCCGTTGAAAAATATCTCGCATCGTTTACAAAACGAACGAACCGGTGAACCAACGAACGGGAGCGCAGATTCGATAGCCGTGATTCGTTGCTCTCGTTAAAGCGTACGTGACGGCGCAATGACAGCGATTAACAGCTCGTTGCCGCGTATAATATCGAACACGCTCGCGAATGAAGCATAGTTTCAATTTCCCGTCAACGGATGCACTGTCACTGGCTAATGGCCAAAGATGATACGCCGTGGCGAGCATTATGTTAAGCCACTGGATCGAGAACAATGAGGGAGAGAGAGGCTGGATCACCCCATTCCCCGGTAAATACCCTCTGAAAACGCAATTCATCAGCTACCAAGAAGAAAGCGAGAATCGACCGATATACAATGGAACAGAATACATTTCTCTTTATTCACCTTTGCTCGCGATTCGATACCCCCTGCTCCTCCTAATTATCCTCTTGTTAATTATCCCGCCGGCAAAGGAATTCAAATAATCATCTATAACGTATGAAAATCTGCGATTAATACTTCTAGTTGCTTTCCGGAATGCTCGATCCTTGGATTCTTTCGATTACGCCGTCGGAGAAACGCGTGGGTCGGCGCGGTGCGCGATACAGCCGCAAACGTAATAAAAGAAAACTCGTGTCGTACAAGTTGTACCTGCCCTTTCTCTTCGCGACAAAGACAGCTACCGCGATAAAAATCTTTTTGCGTCTGCATAATATCATAATAACTATGTAAATCAGAGCACCGTACCAGCCCACAAACACAATCGGGCATTCGTATGCTAACTCTCTGTCCCTCCCACTTTCCCACCTCTCACCCACAAGCCCTCCATTTCACTTTGCCCCCCACTATATATATGTATACGTAACTGGTTACCTAACTCTGATAACGAGTTCAGTCCTCGCCAACGGAGAGATAGAGAGGGAAATGGAAGAAAAAAAAAGATCATTCCACCACCTACTTTTCAAGCATTATCCATGCGAGCTACGCCGACGTCTAACAAATCTTCCGTTGCAAAAAGTATCCATACTCCCACCGAGTATGGTACTCGCGCGTGCTAGTCACTCTGTTCTGTGCTAATATTTTCGGATCGAGGGTGGGGTAAAAAGAAAGAAGAAAAAAAGACGAACGATTATCAAAAATAGCCGATTGCGAGTTACCCATGGTTCGGTTCGAGGGTGAAACGGGCGCTGCTAGGGTGTACCAAGCTCGAGTACTTTCAACAATCCAAAGTATCGTGCATGCAGCGCTATGATCGTGTTTCAACGAAAGCGCCTTTAATGAATTTAATAAGTAGAACGAGCGACAACGAGACGTTGCCTTCTCCGTTCCCCGTTGGTTTTCACGGAACCGATGCGATGCCGCGTTTATTAATCGGTAACAGTTATATAATTGCGCGTTCTGTGTCCATCGTGGCAGCAACGGGCTCTTATTATTCGTTGACCGGTCTCGTTGACCCATTTTACACGGCGATTCCTACTTTTCGCGAATATTAACGCGCATTCTGTATTATCTATCGCTCGGCACGTTGAATTTATATTGTACCACCGGGAATGTAATTAAATTGATCGAATTACGCAGACCGAATTGCGATAAAAGTCGTCGGTATTATGAACGCGACCGATATATACGGCTGATACGAGATTAATTAAAACGACAGTCGCGTGCACGAGGATTGCTTTTCTATGGATGTAACCTGGTAATCTTTTATTCGAGCGGAATACATTAGCGGTCCTCTCGTGTCGGTTTCACTCGACTCGTTCCACTTGCTCCTCCGTAACTTTTGCAAACATTAATATCGTTTCTTCGATAAAAGAATGAAGTGCTCTCATCGCTAGGTATTCCTTCTCGTACCATCCATTCGCTTTTTCGTCGTTTTGGACTTTCGCAGAAGAGACGACACTGACAGGACAATTCTCGGATTTGCTCGTCAAACATGCCGGAGGATTTAATAAATGCAGCGTCTCGCTAAAGTTTCCCGATGAAACTTAAATATCCCTGAAACGCGAGCTACGGCTGAAGGAGGTCGCGAACGTGCCACGAAATCTCTATACTCTTCTCTCCCTCTCTTTTTCTTCTTCTTCTTCTTCTTCTTCTTCTCATTTCTTTCCTTTTTCTTTTTCACAAATTAATGTTCATTCATAGGGATAAAAATTTGCCGTGATGTGCCTTGAGCAAAAGGAGGAGGGAAACGTTTGCTCTTTCGAAAGGCAAAGTTGCCTTCCCTTGAAAGTCAAGCTACCTTCTGTACTCTCTTTCTACCCCCCTTATCTTCGAAGTTCGCTATTCTATCGTAATAACATGGAACTTTGTTAAACTCTCGTTCGAGGAAAATCTCAGTTGCCGTGGCTCTTCAACATTAATGGCCGATTCAAGATACTCTTACTCAGTTAACGCGAAACACATTGACCCACAGTTTTCCATTATCGTTAGATATTCTCCTTTCTCTATTAAACATTCTCCGTGGTAACCAATAAGAAATTGATCGAATTCGAGGAGTCCTAAAGTTCATCCTAATCCAGTGTTAAACAAACGATTCACTGGTACGCGAATAAATTCACAAAAAAGTTCCTTATCGTTCCTAGAATATATACTTTGTAGGATCAGCTGTTTGCTCGGTCGCACAAAATTTAAACGGGACACTGGAGAAGTGGGCAGCTTCCTTTATTAGGTTTATCGGAAACAACTATTTAACAAAGAATATTCGCAAGTCGTAGGTATTTCTTCTGGTACGGAAAGGAAAATGCGAATTCTTTTCTCCCTGAGGTACAGTTCCTCATATTTTTATTCCGCCACTTCCGGCCGTTTCTCAAGCTGTCTTTCCACCGGAAAACGATTACGGTGTATCTTCCGGTGGAAATGGCGGCTTCGCCGCGAAATAAGAGAGTAATTTGTCGAAGGTATCTCAGCTGTAAGGTACCGTGCTCCGCTGATATGTATTTCCAAGAAAGACGAGCGTCTTACGGAAAAAAGAGCGTACCTACGGAAAGATTCTTTATCCGTGTTAAGGGACGAGACGCGAGGAGATGGCCGACAGGTAAAAACATTCTTCCTGTCGGCCGCGTCGATTCGTCGCGACGCGACGTTGAGCGTCCCTACGAATCACCGTCCAACATGCTGTCCATGAGATCACTGAAATACGCGAAACGATATTTTAACCTGTCGTCGACGACGCGCCTCGTCTTTTGCCGGATCGACGATCCAATTCGATCTTAACGCTCATTTTCTTCTATTTCCCTGCTCGATCCTGCTTTCCTCCCGAAATATCATGGAAAATTTCCAAATTTACGAGCCACGGCGCGAAAACCGCTTCGTGGAATATACCCTAGTCCAGCTCTACTTTTCCTCCCTTGTCTCCTTTTGTTCGTTTCGTGCCATTCTTTTTTATCGTACTTACGGATATTCGTGTATCGATCCTATCATGTTTGCTCGTGATATAAAAAAAGTAAAAATGTATGAAAATAAACCGGTACGTTCGTATTAACGTTAAAATCGAGCCAAGTGCTTCGTCACTTCGCATTCGTTTTATTCCGTTGCGTTCATCCGATTCCGCGATACACCGCGCCGGATCGAAATCGCTCCAACGTATTTCGTCGCGTCGAACAGCGTATTATTAAACGTGCGAAATGGAAAAACATTTTTGACGTTGAAATCGACGTTCTCGGTAACGGAAGAAACGGAAAATTCGCTGAATTTTGTGTTCTGTTTTACTTAAAATGGCAATCACTTTCGTAAATACATAGGTACAGCAAACCCTCCAGTTTATTGTGATAAGCTTCGAGAACTCTATATACTATGGCAAGATTAACCGTGCTCCTAATTGTCGTCGTTCGAGGCATATCGCAACTGGTGAAATTCGTCTCGCGGTCTCGAGTCGCTAAAACTTCAGCGTAGAGATTGAATTATTTTTCCCTTGGTATAATTTTGCCATAAAATAAAAGCGGGGCCGCTGCAATAGGCGCACCCACGCCTCCGAAACGATTCAGTGTTCGCCTCTACCACTTCTATTCCGCTTCCTCTTTTCTTCCTTTTCCTTTCTCAGCTCTCGTTCGCTGTTCTTCCTTCACACGGGCATCCAAGCCCGCTGCTTCCACTATTTTCCTCAGCGTTTCCTTATATTACATCCTAGATACGGCCGCGAGGACGATGCTACCAGCTGAAAATTCCTTCCTTCTCCTGTTTCTGTCAGTGAATATCTTATCATAATAGCTGCGATGCTGTTTTCTCGGGTCCGCCATGTCCAAAACTCTTGTTCCTTTTCTCTGTTCTTCTACTTCAACCCTTTCTCTTGGAATAGAAAAAAAACTGTCGAACCACCGTTCACTTTCGAGCTTCCATAAGCAGTTGCGACTCGATATCTTCGAGTATCGTCTCTCCTCGACGCAGCTGCAATTGCGCGTTTTTCCATTCGATGCACAGGATGCACCGTTGCTTCGCTCGATGGAACGTCGAAGCGTCTTCCGGTCGCCTCGCACTGCCTCGCAGCGTCCATCGCTCCGCTTCACGCTCGCGCTATTTCCAAACTTTCGTCAGATATACGCGCCATCCTGCGATACCAGTACCGACTTCATTTTCCCCAAAATCGTTCGCTCCTATCTAACCTAGCTCGTTTTACCACCCTGAAATTTTATCGAACGATCCTCTCTTCGCTTGCCAATTTTGCCAAACCTTTTTTCCTTACCTATACAGCGCAATACAATACACGTGAATTAAGGCAATTTTCATTCATCTCTAGGTATTTGAAAACTACCGTGTAACGATTCATTTTTCTTTCATTTTACCACCGTTTTACTTGCGCGTTACTCTCA